ATTTATAGGCATGTGTGCGTATCTGTGTGCATGTGCACGTATGTGTGTGAGTATGTTTGTTTCTGTGTGTGCGTGTAGATGTCTGTCTGGGCGGACGAATTTTGTCCACCCACTTTCAACTCAGCAACCATGAAGGCTGGGGAACTGAAATTTTAGGGCGTGTTCTCAGCGTACGTTTCACCCTTACAACCTGAAACTGTTGCTCATGTACGTCTGGAAATATGCAAGTTTTTTGGCTAGGAAACGGTTCCGAGAAACAGACAAGCTAAAAAGCAGAAATTTTTTTCCCTGTCCATTTCTGAATTAAAGATCACAAATTCAGCTATCGCATATACGATCACGTCTAAGTTCGCAGTTGGCGCACTGCCAACCCAAAAACTAGCCGGAAGGCAACAGCTGAAAATTTATCAGAATCTTCATGGTCCATCTGGAATAGTTAAAAGGCCAGAATTCACATGTTAAGTGATTACGCAAGAACCATTCGTGTTGTTAATGATTTGACTGCTGCAGGCCTGATGCAAAAACAAATAATCCCACCAGCAAGCCTGGTACGCCACAACCTGAGTTTCTTTCTGGATTCGATGCGTATTTCAAACGCATCCCTCAGATGATGATGTAAACGATTCACACAATTAGCCCCCTCCTACAAAAACGTTATTTAATTGCAAATTCGCACGTTCAAGACCTGTTGACAAAAACGCAAATCTTTTAATAGCAAGACGAAGAACACGGCGAGAGAAAACAAGAAAAATTCAAGAACGCTTCGTAGCAAAAATATATTTCTGAGTGGTTTTCATTCGGAAAAGGCATGTAATTTCAAGATATGAAAAATGACGTGTGCAGAGGAAGGCATCAAAAGAGTCGAAACCCCGTCTGAATAAGAAACAGTGCGGGAAATGTGCTGACGAGCGCACATCAAGCGGAATTTAACCAGCTGGAAAGTAACTAATTTGCCGTGCTGCGATGCGGAACATTTTGTAAGAAATATTGAACTTAGTGCTCTTAAAAGCGTTAGGCCTAATGTCGATAATAGTAAACGCAACGTTAAAGCACGTTAGCGAAAAGCTGATAATTTCGGCTCGCCTCGTGCAAAATTTTTGTACCTTTTCGTTGCAATCCTCTGTTTTCTTGCAAAATTCTGCGTAATTGACTAAAACTATTCGATTTTATTCACTGCTTTTTCTTCTCTGTTTTCCGCTGGAAAAAAAAAGCTTGTTGTTTTTGAGCATGAAAAAATTATGTCCAACTGGAAAATATTCAGCATTTTA